ACAGCGTAGCAGAGCCGTTGCCCTCCTGCTGCCTGGGCGTTTCCTTGGTTACTGCAGCCCTGCCACTCCCTCTGCAGGGTACCAGGGCAGCTTCCACTCCATCCAGAGCTGCTTCCCCTATGGCGACTGCTACCGGGTAGCTGAGCCAGCAGCCGGTGGGGACGCCCTGTCTGGGGAGGCCTCTGGCTTCAACCCCCTGCGGCCCAACGGCTACCACGGCCTCAGTGCACCTTTACCTGCCACAGGTAAGCCCCACCTGCATGGCTCCCTCCCCCGAAGGCCCACCAGGGCCCAACCCTGTGCTGGGTGCTTGGTGCCCATTGTCCCGCCGCTGTGGGACAGCCCCCTGAGGCAGAGTCGTCCCTGCTTTGCAGAGGGGAAGTCGAAGCCCAGGGCGGTCCCAGGACCCACAGAATGGGGACATGCGCCCTGCCCGGCCCTAAGTCAGTTCCTCCACAGCCTCACACGGCTCGCTCGTCCGGACTCTGGCAGGTTTCTGAAGACGCAGAACAATCAGACTGGAGCTCAGTCTAGTCGATGTTCCCTTTGAATATTTACTGTGCACCTCCTATGTGTGGGGGGCACAGTTGTAGGCCCTGGGGATCCGGCAGGGAATGAGACTACACTGATCCGTGTAACCGATAAGGAAACTGAGGCCCAGAGGGGCCACACGGCTAGGAAGGAACAGAGCCTGGAGGTCGTGCTTGCTCTTGTGCTGCACGTGTTCCTCAGGGCCCTGGGCCTCCCCCGGGCAATGCCCTTGGCTGGGGTGGAGAGGCCCAGTGACAGGGCAGGGCGGTGGGAGCCCAAGGCAGAGTCGGGCTCAGACCAGCCAGGCCAGTCCTGGTCAGAGCAGGGGCACAGATGGTGGGGCTGGGCCCTCCCTGAGTTCTCCAAGCCGAGCCCCACCCAGGTCAGCCCCAGGGCCCAGGTCCAGCTGGAAGCTACAAGGCCTGGGCAGGATGTGGGGATCCCAAGACAGAGGGGAGCCTGAGACCCTGTCCCAGAGGCCCCTTGGGCAGCTGGGCGTGTGCAGCTGGGCGTATAGGCATAAAGTCATAGGGACAAGCACTGAGGCCACAGAAGAGCAGACACAAAGCTGTGGACCCATGTTTTCTGTTCACACGCATGCTCCCTTGTCTGCATGTCTTATTCTTCATGTGCCTGTGGAACCCGTCTGTGTGCATGTGCACATAGAGCCGGCATGGGCAGGTTCCAGGCAGTGTGAGCCCCATGAGTGTGTAAGGAGCTTGCAGGACACGTGCTCATGTGTGCACACATGTGCTCACATCATGCATATGCTGATGTTCATCGTCATCTGTGTGCACAGACCTGTGTGCCCATCATGTGACCCCCATCCATGCGCACACACGTGGTTCTCCATCCCATAACCCCATCTGCATGCACAGACTGTGTTCACATATGGTGTAAGTACCTCTGGGGATGGACACATGTCACATACATGCTGTAGGCTAGTGTGTACCCAGTCACAGGGTGGGTGTGTGCCATGTTTGCACGCATATGGATTGATATGTGATTAGGCACTGGCCGCTGGCCACAGCTCTGCTAGCTCTCACCGACCCATCCTCCACCAGCCCCCCACCAGCCCAAGGTGGGATTCCTTGCTTAGCAGCCAGGCCTAGAGTTCTGAGTGGTTGAGGGGCAGCTTCCATGCCCCCACAGCAAGGGAGAGGATTCTTCAGCCTCCACGGGCCCCTGAGTGGCAGCCTAGTTTCCAGCGCCCATTCCAGACCCTGCCTACATCTCCTCTGCCAAGCTGAGCATAGACATGCATGGTTGAACAAGGTGGCATCATGGGGCCTTAGGAATAGTTCAGCCTGAACCCATTTCACAGATGGGAAGACTGAGGCCCACCTGTCTTAGGCTACAAAAGTTCATGACAACAGCCCAGGCGCAGAGTCCTTAGGGCAGGCAGGGACTGGATAAGGTGACCTCTCCAGACCCCTCCCATGTCGAGGGCCTCCCAGGGAGACAGCATGTCCGATGGAAGAGCCAGCTGTCTTGGTGCCAGATGGACCTAGGTCCAAAGCCCACCTCTCCCCCTGAACTGGGGAAGTGTACTGCCCTCTCTGGGCATCTCTTCAGCTCTGCCCTGGGACAGTGAGTCTCATCTCCCAGGACTGCTGTGACGCTTGAGTGATGAGACTTCACCGAGCCCGTAGTCGGTGCCCAGTGAGTGCTGGCCCTTCTGTGGGCTCCTGTGTCTGGTGGAGGAACCTGAAACAATGGGGTGGGCTGGGGTCCTTCTGCCAGGAGGCGACCAGCCCCTGCAGGCAAGAGCTGTGATAACCCCCCCATACCCCCCCCATTCTGCCCCACAGCCCAGCACTGGGGGAGAAATCCCCAAGCCAGCCTGTGCCTATCTCCCCAGCTGCCCTGGGCCCTTTGGGAATACAAGGCCTAGGGCGCCTCCCCCATCCCTACCTGGAAGGGCAGCGGGCTCAGATCAGGCCCTGCTGAGGGGACACTGAGATGGACCCTAGCAGGAGGGTGGGGTCTGGGAGCTGGGAGAAGATGACAAGGCATCACCCCCGAGTTCTCCAGCCCAGACCCTGTGCCCACACAGGCTACGAGGCTCTGGCCGAGGCCCCGTGCCCCACAGCGCTGCCGCCACAGCCACCTGAAGACGTCGTGTCCAGCGGCCCCGAGGACTGCAGCTTCTTCCCCAACGGGGCCTTTGACCACTGCCTTAGTCACATCCCCTCCATCTACACCGACACCTGAGGAAGGCCCTGCCCCGCCCCCGTCCACCCTCCCGTCCACCCTCCACCGCAGATGCTGCCTTGCCCGCCGGTGTGCGTCCCCACCCTCCATGCACCAGCCTGAGCAGCCGGACCGAAGCTCTGCACACGGTCCACGGTGCCCAGCGCTGGCCGGTGCTCAGAGGTGCTGGCAGGGTCCGTGACCTGTGCTGGTCCCTGACTGTCTTCCTTTTCTCCCCGATGTCTTTACATCACAGACCTCGTGTGTATAGAGTGTACAGGACTTGTTTTCCATTCTCCTGCCAGTTTTCTATTTTTGGTTTTACAAGAAAAACATTAAAAACTGGAAATGAGACTCGGGGCCTGGCTCTGCTTTAGTGGCTCTGCCCAGAGGCTGGGAGCAGGAGAACGGCCCAGGTGTGTGTAGTGGAGCGTGTGTGGGGCTCGGAAGGCCACACGGAGACCCCTCCGGCCCTGGGTGTCCCGTGGGGGATGGTGGGGACGGGTGCCTGAGTCTCGTGCCCCTCAGCGTGCTGTGAGCCCTACAGACACATGCACTAGTCTCAGGCCTCAATGACAGGCAGGCTTCTCCCCATGGGTGGGCAGGAGGACCAAGGCTGGGACTGAACCTGGAACCCAGATCCATGTGACCCAGACCTTTGCTGCCTGCACAGACTTCCCCGTGGGAGGAAGATGAGCTCCATTCTGGTTTGGCTGTGATGAACCAGGCGGGAAGGCAGGGCAGTCCTGAGCCCAGACAGCCTCCAAAGGCAGGGCAGAGGCAGGGCCCCTGCAGGCGGGCCAGGGAGGGAGGAAGGAGGCCAGGTCTGAGGGCAGCAGGGCTCCCCTGGGGCGGCGCCTGCCCTGCCTGCCTCCCTCCCCTGGTCCAGCACGGGAGCAGGCCCACCACCAGGCCTGGGCAGTACCCTGGACAGTGTCCGCCTCACCACACCATCCGGAGGGTCACCTGGCAGGAAAAATTCCTCAAGGAAGATTCCTGCCTCGCAGCTGCTAGAGTGCAACAAGCACCTCCTGTGCGCCAGGCCCTGCCCCGAGCTCCTGACAGCCCTGGGAAGGACTTTTGATCCCCTCTCGGTAACGCCTGCTGGGTTAGGGGGGCAAGGTGAGATGGAAAGATCTAGGCAAACCCTTTTTTACAGAGAGGAACCCAAGGTCCAGAAAGGCCACCCGCCATGTGGTGACAGGACCGGGTGACAGGGAGGCCGTGCGGCACCTCACCGAGGGGTGCAGCTCTGCCAGCCCTGCCGTGCTTCACATGGCTCAGCTCTCGCCTCCTGCTCGCCCCCCCTTCTCTTCCGTGCATGTTCCTCCCTCGCTGTGTCAGGGCCCCCCTATCGGCCTGTGTCTGGGGCTCCCTCCCCTCTGCTCCTGGCTGGCTGCAGCCACGGAGGAGCTTAGCATGGACGGAGGGAAGAGGGAGGCCGTCTCCTGACGCCCTGCTCACACCTTGTACGTAGTCCCTTCACATCACCCTCTTCCACGGTCCCCCCATTTCACAGGTGCAGAGACGGAGGGAAGCGAAGGCACAGCCCCAAGTAGTTGGGCTGGATGCAGACCCCAGCCTCTGGCTCCGGAACCTGCACTCCACCCACTGCACTGCCCGCCCCTGGAAGACGGGGCCACCTGGTTCCCACCCCCTCCCAGCCCTCTGCCAGCCCCTCGGGGCGGGACTAACCCAGTGTCACCCAGAACACCAGCCTCTGGGGTGCAGACCAGGGCTCCTGGCTC